ATGTATATACCCAATGCAGGAGAAATGATGGGGCTTGGGAAGGAATGGAAAAGAGAAGACATATTCTATAAATGATTAGGAGATGGGATGAGTAACTGAGTAATCATTAGGTAAAGAGAATGGAAAATGACTCCTACTTTTATGACTCAGAAAATTAGGTGTATAGTAGTTATTAATTGACTAGAGGCCTGATGCACGAAGATTCATGCAAGAATGGGCCTTCCTTCCCCTGGCTGCCAGTACTGCCTTCGCTCCGACAAGAGCCGCCTTTCCGCCTTCACTCCAGCCCGGAGCTGCCTTTCTGCCTTCCTTCTGGCCTGGAGACAACTTTCCACCTTCCCATGCTGCCCAGAGGCCCGGAGCAGCTGGGCGGTGCGGAATGCCTGCATCGTCACCATGGCAATGAGCAAGCATCCCACCTCGCCCCTGCTGCTTGGCACCTGCGTATGCAAATTAACCCACTATCTTTGTTGGGTTGATTTGCATACTCACTCCTGATTGGCTGCTGGGTGTCACAAAGGTACAGTCAATTTGCATCTTTCTTGGCAGCCAATCAATGATTCTCTCTCATCATTGATGTTTTTACCGCTCCCTCTCCCTCTCTGAAATCAATTAAAAATAAAAATTTGCATCTTTCTCTTTTATTAGTGTAGACATTGATTTCAGAGAGGGAGAGGGGAGAGATAGAAACATCAATGATGAGAGAGAATCATTGATCAGCTGCCTCCTGCACACCCTCTACTGGAGATCGAGCCCACAACCAGGGCATGTGTCCTGACCGAAATCAAACTCAGGACCTTTCAGTCCACAGGACGATGCTCTATCCACTGAGCCAAACCAGCTAGGGCTCAGTAGCTGCTTCTTGATGATTAGCCACTGTCACCAAGCTGCTGGGGGTGAGGGGAGATATGTGCGTCTGTCCGTGCAGCACTTTATACGTTTTGATTCATTTTAGGGACCTTGAGCAAGTAGCTTAGGCAACTCGATACCCACCTTTCTTATCTAGTAGGAGACTACAAGTTCCTAGATCTCCTAAGTCAGTGGTTCTCAACCTTGGCTGCACATTAGAATCACCTGGGAATCCTTTTAAAATCCTGATTTCTGGGCCCCATCCTCTGGAAATTCTGTTTCTTTGTTACTAATGTTGTGGCCCCACTCCATAACAAAGAAACAGAATTTCCAGAGGATGAGGCCCAGAAATCAGGATTTTCAAAGATTCCCAGGTGATTCTAATGTGTAGCCAAGTTGAGAACCACTGTCCTAAGTGATTCTGACCTATGGCTCTTTGGCGTTAATCCTCCTTCAAAACTTGTATTTTTTTAGGTTACCATTGAACAACTAATGTTTGAAGAGAAGAACAAAGCTCAGAGGTTGCAGACAGAACTAGATGTCAGTGAACAAGTCCAGAGAGATTTTGTAAAGCTTTCTCAAACCCTTCAGGTGAGGCATTTGGGGAACCCTTAGAGCACCAAGGCAGTTTAGGGGGTCCTGGTACCCAAGCGAACTCACCGCCCCTTGACTCCACCACTGACAATAGCTAATCCAGCCCAAACACCTGCCTGGTCATTCAAGCCAAAACCCAGGTGTGTACTTCAGACTTGTACCCCTTTCCCTCTGTACCGTTGGTCCTTAAGAGTAAAGAGTGAAGTCCTTGGAATACCATGTAAGACCCTTCCCAACAAGGCCTATCCCTACAGTTTTTCACTTCTTTGCCTTATATTTTATATTCCATGTTCCAATGTATTTTAACTCCTTGTGGTTCCTTGCCCACAGTAGTCACTCTGGTAAGCCTCATTATCTCATCAGCGCCTGATTCCCCAGGCCCAGCTTAGCTTTGTCTTCCCCATAGACCTACAGAGCTAGGTCCTCACACTAGGCCACAGTGGTCCGCCACCACCTCCATGCCGCTTGGCACACAGTGAGTGCCTCCAGTGACATTTAGCATATTGTGCTGAGATTCTCTATAAGTCCCCTTGCCCCACCACCAACTGAACTGTGGGTTCTCAGGGGTCAGGTCTCATTAACATCCATGGTCCCAGCACCTTACACTGGGTCTGCTCCACAGCAGCTTTTGGGAATTGCTCCATCTCCTCTAAACCAATCAAAGTAACCTTCCGAAAATCTAGGCAGGAACCATGTGCACTTACCCTGTATTGTCTCTCCAGGTGCAGTTAGAGCGGATCCGGCAAGCAGACTCATTGGAGAGAGTCCGGGCAATTCTGAATGATACCAAACTGACAGACATTAACCAGCTTCCTGAGACATGACACCTTCACAGCAGGATTCTCGCCTGCACTTTGGGTTTTTAACTCATCTTTAGAGCAACATTAATTACTTACTCTTAACTAAAGAAGTCACAAAAAAAGGAAGACTGGGGAGATATGTTTCTAGTGGGAGAAGACTGTGCAGCACAGGAACAGCAAACAGCCAGGCTAATTTGCAGCAAAAAGACCTTTCAAGTGGGAACACTAGCGAGACCCCAGGCTTGACTCCAGCAGATGTGAATCAGGTTCGGTGATGGAGAAAGTGCTGTTTCCTTGCCTGTTTATCCAACATTTCCCTAAAGCACCATCTAGTAGTGTTTGGAATTACATTTTCTGTTCATAGATATTGGAAGAGATTATTATTTGTTGTATAGAGTACATCAGTAACAGTATTCAGCTAGCAAGAGACGTGTAGTATGCTGTATGAGTATTTTATATTAAAATATGAAGTTTGAGAGCAGGCCATTGGCTAGTGACTGCATTTCCTAGCTCAGTGCTTTTTAAAAAAACTATCTTACATTGGAGGATCTTAAATGCTACTGAAACTTGCTGGAGAATCAGAAGTTGTGGCAAACAAAACCAATTCAAGAACTGAATTATGAGAATTTGAAAACTTAGCTGGGGCTATACGTATTGGAAATTGAGGTTAAAGGAAAAGCACAAGAAACTGTTTGAAAGCACTTTTTCTGCTACTTGGATAAATTTCATGGGCCCACAGGTACCAGGGTCAAACTGAACTGGTACCACCTGCTCTTGAAAACTTTGTTATTGAATCATTGGGAAAAGATAATATTAACAAAACAAGCTGACAACATCTAGTACAAATTTATAAATCTGCTGCTTACTTTTAACTCGAATCAATGGGCCGAAGTACTGTTTCAGAAGTGTCAAATACAAAATGGTGATAACTATGTTTGACAGGTACCAATTTTGTATTTTACTTTTATAATTTAGACTTGGAGTGTGATAATGCTTATGAAGTTGGGAAAATCCCAGTCAGTCCGTTCATCAGTTTGGAAATCTGCTTTGTCATTCCTGTGAGGTTAGCTTTTCTTTGTGAAGAAAGCTTCAGTGAACAGGCTGTGGCTGTATGGTGTTGCAGAAAGCAGAGAATGGTTCCTGTTGGTTATTGACCTGCTGCAGGACTGTTAGCCAGTAGGAGTCTACATGGTTTCATTCATGATAGAGATGGTTCAAAGGTAAAATTGTTTTCAGATAATTTTTGTGATTGGTGTTATATAACAGCAGGGTACTTGAAGGACCCTTACAGTAATTAAATGGATTAAGTAGATTGTTTGGCTCATTTAAAGCCACCATCAACTTAGAGTTTAAAGTGAATTGTCATTGTTATAAATGAAGCTATTGTGGACTAGCCGGAAAGATCTTTACTTCTGTCTTCCATGAGACAAGATACAGACTACATACCTCATTCCTTAGGTTATTGTTGTAGTCTTGGATTCATGATTATGAATTTAAAAGTAAATACTAATTATGGAAATAGTGCTACAGGCTTGCCATGCATGAAACGTTATTTTAATTGGTTTACAGTCCCTTTGTATAAAGTACTACTTTGGTTTAAAGGAAACATTTATCCTCATTGAGTTACAGGGAATTTAATTCTAAAATACAATCTGTTTAAATGTTGTAAGTGTAAGACTGGTTCCTTGAATAAGCTCTGAGCTAATTTGTTTCAGAATATTAAAATTGGCACTATAATTCAGGATGGATGGGTAATTCATAATCTTCCTGAACTAAACTCTAGCCCCCAGGGAACTGCTCTGCTGAGACAAGCTTGCAGATGTTTTTCTCAGTAAGGTGGCACTGGGCCAATAAAATCATGATTAGGGAACCATTGGTAGTCTCTACTGTGGCAGATGCAGACTGTTGGAACCCACTTTGTTAAGAAAAATGTCATAGAAAAACCCAAACTGTTACTCTAGGTTTTGTTAACAATTTGTTTCTGATATGAGGCAAACTCTGTGCCACTATCCTGGTAAGAAACACTTCAATCAGGGTTTTCTGTGTAAATGGGAAATTGATTTGAAGGCAGGATTTAGCCTGTCTGGGCAAAAGAAAAGATCAGTTCGGTTTCACAAGTGTTCCTGTGTTTGTGTTCAGTCTGTACACATATTTTCTCACGCATGTCTAACATGATTTACCTCCTACCTGTTACCTGCCTTATGTGGCTTTTAATTGGCAGTCACTCGGCCATTTCTAGGCAGGTGCAGTATTACCTTTCAGAACTAATATCGGCAGGTAAAAAACATTACCCAACGCTAACAGAACAAAATCATATACTGCAGACAAAGTCATTTGTTTCTTTTTCCTTTTGAAGTCCTACATTTGTACCTTGTACTCACTTGTAACTCATATCAGGACACAGTGCACAGCCAAACTGAGCTCTCAAAGGTAATACTGCCTGTGGAAGTGCGCCAGCAGCGGCTTTGCAGTTGTGGATCCTGGGCTCGGCTCTAAGCAGATTTCAGATGTAACCGTTTGTTAACTGTACTGAAGGTGTGTCCTTAGGAAGAGAGTGTTCAAATTAAAAAAGCTGCTGCCTAGTATACTGTGTGGCCTTTTCCTTTGAATCCTCCCTTTTCAGAATCACATTTCTGGTGTTGGCACTTTAAAATGCAGCTCTTAATCTTGTTCAGCTGTGGAGAAAACTCAGGGTTCTTGGGCTTTTAAAAAAAATCCTAAGCCATTGCTGAACATAATCATCAACTTAAGCATATATAAGGCACATTCCAATTTTTAAGTAAAAGCATTTATTCAATAATTAAAGTATGAAAATGATGAACAATATAACACCAAAGCTCATCCAAATGCCTCTTTATAAATAGATAATGCTACTGGCTTGTTTTACAGTTTGAGCTCAAGCCTTCACTTGTGTTAACTTCAGGTGCGACTGTTCCTGGTGGTGTCAGAAGTTGACATGATTTCGGATATCATTAATCTGCTTCACCATTTCTCTTATGTGTTCACCCCTGTAAAACCATAAAATCACTTTTGGGAACAGAACAAATGAGTAAGCCATAAAGAATTCAAACTAGTTAGTAATGTTGAAATTAGAAGTGCTTTGCTAAAATAAACAGGTTAACATTTCAGATGGATAGTAATGGTGTTTACTACTTATTTAAGGCTAACAACAGTGGCAAATGGTATTGCAACTGCTGGAAATATTTTTTAACATGTTCCCTGGGGACTACACCTTGACCACACAACAAAATCATATTACAATGAAGTCATCATCTCAAGTTCTTTATCACATGGCTCCTATTCCAGTAAACTTGACATACAAATGCCAAGTAATGTCAGCTGGGCAGAGAAAGGCTACGTTTGGCATATTTATTGCAAAGAAAAAGCTACCTCATAACAGCTGACTATTAGTATTACTTACTCCTCCTTCAGGATGGACTGAATGCATTTCCGCTGGTAGGCACTGAGGGTAATGGTGGGTTTTTGAGGACTCAGTATCTTTTCCATCTTGCGCTGCTGATAGTCTTTTTTCATGGTAACCTTAAGTATCAAACAGAACATAGGTTTTTTGGCTGTGGTTTGCTACATGTTTTCATGGTATCTTTTTACTTTTAAAGTGTATTTTTGTTGTTGAAAAGTATTACAGATTTGCCCACCCTCTTTTTTCCCCCTCATTGACTCCCTCTTCCCCACTCCTGCTCCCTTCCCAGGCCTTCACTGCATTACTGTCTGTGTCCATGGATTATACTTGTAAGTTCTTTAGTAAATCTCTTCCCACCTTCCCTACCCCCTCTGAGAATTTTTTATATTTTATGAAATAATTCTTACAGAACAAACATAAGTACAAAATTTAACAACCTATATTCATTCCTACCTGTTTGATGGCATTGCCCAAATGTCGAAGTTGATCAGGTATCAACTGTAATTCTTTCTTCATGTCTCTCTCACTATCAGAGAGAACTGGAAGCTGAGAATGAAAACTGTGAAGTACTTTTTTCATCCTTTAAAAAAGGCAAGAAAACATCTCAGCTCGAGATCTCTGCCACTTAGGAATGAATCTAGTGTCTATGAAGGGAGCACCACAGGATGACGGAGAAGGCATCACTGCACTGTCTTCCCTAACGCACCTCAGGAGGGGTAAGGGAGCCAGCTCCATTCCGCAGGCCTGGGGGAACACTTCAGGCCCACTTCGCGTGGCACTGTTAATATCTGAGCACGTAGCACTAGTAGTACCTGAGCGGGGAACTGAATGTTGTACGACACCTGACCTGTTTGTGATATCTTCTTGTTTTTCCTTGGCTTCCTCATATTTGTCAGCTAAGCGCTCAGCCATTTCCCGCAAACTTTTCCTAATGGCAGAAAAAATAAGACTCTTAGGGTCCATCTTGATGGTGAAGCCAGCTAATGTGGTCTGGGTTTTAGGGCAAGAAACAGTTCCCGTCGTCTTGAGCTTTTTTTTTTTTTCTCCTCCCCAATTTTGGCACTTACCTTTCCTCTCGACAATAATTGAGATCTTCAAGTTGTTTCTTTTTTTGGTCACATAATAATTTGATCCTTCAAAAGCAAAAAAAAAGAAATGTAATGGGAAGCCAGGTCTAGGCCATTACACAGTGTCGGCTGCCCGCCAGGAGCTGGTGGTACGTGAGCAAAGGCCACCTACCTCCGCTGAATCTCCTCCTTGGCCAGGTCCTGTTTAAGAATGTACTGCTCTCTGAACACCTGGGTGGCTCTGCTGATGAGCTGAAGACATTCTTCAGGAGGAGGGGCTGTATCTTTTTCAGATGATCTTTAAAAAAAAGTTTCTACCATTACTTTCCTTTAGTTGAGTAAAACAACTAAAAATTGACTCAGGTCATAGCTGCTTTTTTCCCTTTTTATCATATTCAGGTGCCTCTATATCCATTCTGTCTATTCACTAGCTGATTAAATATGCCCTATGTTTCTTCCAACTCCAACATAGTAAAAAGTACATTAAATGAAATAAATAGCTGAGGAGAGGATGAACCAGTTCTTAAAACCTATAACCTATATCCCATACTTCAAAAATGCTGGATTTGCAACAGTGCGTTGCAAAATGCTTCTTATATGCTTTTCAAAGGAATCCGGGGCTTCAGCTAGAATTCGGAGGGGAGACTCTGCCACTTCAACATCTCCTTGAGTACAAAGCAGGGGAGGAGACGCAGGATGGACTGTGCTTCTGCAAAATAAATGAAACAGAATCTACCATGAAGTCGCTTACTGTATCAGAGGAAAGCATTTGCCACATCTGCCCAGAATCTTAAGGAACTATCAAATGGCACTGTGTGTGTGAGTACCAGGATGTACATTTCTGCCATGAAGACAAAACCTTGGGGGACTACCCCCTTATTCTACCAATGCTACCATTTGTCAAAGCATTTTGGTGGTTACTCCAAATTCTTTTTGTAAAGATCAAGGCAGCACAGGGTATAAATTCATCATGAACTTTTCTGCAAGGACTCAAGAGCCCGTTATAAGCCAGAGTCATAAACAAATGAATCACTCATTTCCTAGGTATAGTTTGGATTTGATCAAAACCAATGTTCACCCAGATAACCACTAAATACTGTACTTACTCTCTATATAACTTGACTTATAAAAATTACATTCACTCGAATATTACAAATATTCACAATGGCAATTTCAGAGAGCTTGAAAGACTGCAAAAGTTAAGACCATGGTGAGCGACTTACTCTGCAACAATAATCTGGGAGTTTGTTAAACAACAATATTACACTATAGACAACCTGTATTTTAGGGAGTTAGCAGAAAACATGATTTGAATGTATCTAGATAACAACATTTCAGTTTTCTTTTCCTCTGAGATTCACATTTTTATTCTGAAGTAACCCAGTGTGTAGGTCTTATTTCACTAAAGGTAGGATGGGTTTTTAAAAATACGCTTGAGACAAAAGGCAAAAAGGAATTTTTTCAGGGATTTTATTATGTTTATTCTTGCTAGAGTTTTTAGTCTCTTTTAGTGTAAGTAATACAAAATTGATAAGAGATCTTTTGCTTTCCAAATAGTGTAACATCAGTCTTCAGAGAGCATGGGAGTTCCTTGAAGGATAGTAAATTAATGAACTGTGTCAGTAATCTAAAAGTACATGCTTTGAAATGACACCAGGAGACTAGGGAAGCGGGGTGCCAGTGTTCAACACCAGTGGCTTATTCCTGCATTTAAAAAATCCAGAATGACATTCCAGGGTTGCTGGAAAAACAAAACAACCACACAGCCCTTATAGCGTCATACGAGTGCTTTAAGAAGGAAGATTACGAGTTCAGCTCTATACCACCAGACTTCCAGAGTTACATGTCTATGACGTCCCTCTGAGCCTGGCAGAAATGGAGAAGTTAAAGTGTGAGCATGGACTTGGGAGTGAGAAAGCCCTGTTTCCTTTTACAAGATGGGCATAATAGTGTGGTCCTTACAGGGTCGCTTTGGTTACAGGAGAAAATGCATGTAACTGCCTTACTTTTAATTCTGGCACATAGAACATGATAATCATTGAGTATAATTCATATTAATGGAGTTCGCTATTTTAGTATGCTTTCCCATACTTTGAAGTAAAGCTCTTGACTCTCAGGTAGCCAGAGATGATATCATGCCTAAAAGTAATCCTATTCTATCTTTCCAACCATCATAAGAAGCCAAAGCATAATCCAAGTACCTTCAAGCCGTTTCTAAGGGCATTTTCCCAGTTTAGATCTTGCAGAATTAACAAGTTGTGTGGGGAATACAAAAAAGTACTTACAATAAAGGCCTTATGAGGCATTCATAGGTGCTGGTGATGCAGATCATCGTGGGCCCCAGGATGTCAGGGACAATCCAGAACCCTTGAATCGGAGCTGGCTGCCTGGAAACACACAGGCACAGGGAAATTATGAAATGGCAACCGCAGTGGATCCAAGTGTAATGACATGGCTGAGGTTCGCCGCCTTCTCTGGCTGTGCTATCAGTTGCCTGGGACCTGCTCTTAGTGCAGTAACCTCAAGGGTGCCGACCTGGAAACCTGTACTACTCACAGCTGTGACTGGTTTGAAACATGCTGTCACTTAGCAGCCTAGAGGCCATTTGACTTATAAGTCACTCAGGAACCCAGAGCCTCATGATGCGCACTAATCTCAGCAGTTACATGATTCAGTCAAGTTATACGTGTCTTTCTCCCCAACTTGCACAGAAGCCCCAGCTGTCTCTGCCTAGCCCAGATAAAGTGCTCAGAAACTGCTGACTGAATTCAGTCTATTTCTCATGAAAAATCCCAGGCAGCCCAACACCTGTCACAGGACTTCATTTCCTGCGCATGGCTTGCCTCTCCCTCTTAATCCTGGTTATTTCACTGGAGGAAATGTCTTTCCTGCCAACAGGCTACTCGACCTGCCCCAATGTTCATCCCACCCCCACAGCACACTTCCGCCCTGGACTGACAATGCCATTTCCGCTCACCTCTTCTGATCTCAACTCTGTAGTTTCAAAATCTCCTATTGTCTACCCTCGGCTTATAAACATGCTCACATCTCTTCATTCAAAACTCCACTGTAATTTCAAGCCCCCCCCCCCAACCTAGTTTTTCTTCCCTTCTCTTTAGAATCAGCAGACTTCAAATTGTAACCTATAAGAGGGGAGGTAGGTAAGGGTGAGTCTGGGAGGTTAAAAATTTTGTATTTTATATTTTCAGTGTGAAAGCTACACTCAGAAGAGTGCATACATACATTCTGTAACCACTATCCAGGTCACCAATCGGAATGCTGCCGCTACCAAGGCGCTGATACTACCCAATCCAGCCTTCCACTCCTTAGAGCAGTCACCGCTATTCTGACTTTTATGATACTCACGCTCCTGCTTTGCTTCATAGTTTTCTATGTATTCCTTCCTAGGTGGTACTTTCAACCTGTTTAATTTTACCTCCTGTTTTTGAAATGTATGTAAGTGGAATTTTATTCTCTTTTCCCTGTTCACTTTTCACTCTGGTGCTCTCCTCCCCCACCTACGATTGTTTCCCTTCCAGTTCCAGATGAAGCCCCTGTACTGCCAAGTCTAGACTCATGACTCCTTCCTGCTGCTGCCCACTGCTTGCTCCCCGAGGCACCCACCTCCCTGGCATCCTGACATCTTTTCCTTCAGGTTTCCTGTAGTCTTTCTGGCAGCCCTGGACTCGAGTTTCCTTCCTTGGCTGGGCTCTATCCTGACTCACCGACTGTGAGAAAGTGTTGCTCAGACTCTCTTCACAGGTCTCCTCTACCCATGCTAGGCTCCTTTCTGAGTAACCTTAACCATAGACACATTTCAAAGCTGACATTTCCCACAGCCATACTGTTCTAGCCTAGATCATCCAAACACCAGAGACACATGTCCAACAGCCTACTGAGTGCCTCCACCTGGATGTGCCACAGGAACAGAAAACTCCAAGTGCCCCCATTAACATGTCTCCATCCTCCCAAACATACTTTCTCCTATGTCCCACGTGTCTCCAAGGGACCACATCTACCCAGTTATCCCAAGTAGGAACTTGGGAGTCATTCTAGACATTTCCCTTTATTTAGTCATCAAATATTTACTCAACACCCACTACGCACGTCAGACAGCGAGTATGCCGACAGGAGGGGACAGTAAATGGCCCCAGTAAATGGAAACAGATGTAGTCTCTGCTCTCCTGAAACGTACTCTAGCAGTGTGACAGACATTAAACAAATACAGACGCCACCTTTAATGTACTACAGAGAAAACGGCGTAATAAGAGGAGAACCTGAGGTCAGACTGGGGAATCGAGGAGCCCCTTCTGCATGCTAGGCTCCTTTCTGAGTAACCTTAACCATAGACACATTTCAAAGCTGACATTTCCCACAGCCATACTGTTCTAGCCTAGATCATCCAAACACCAGAGACACATGTCCAACAGCCTACTGAGTGCCTCCACCTGGATGTGCCACAGGAACAGAAAACTCCAAGTGCCCCCATTAACATGTCTCCATCCTCCCAAACATACTTTCTCCTATGTCCCACGTGTCTCCAAGGGACCACATCTACCCAGTTATCCCAAGTAGGAACTTGGGAGTCATTCTAGACATTTCCCTTTATTTAGTCATCAAATATTTACTCAACACCCACTACGCACGTCAGACAGCGAGTATGCCGACAGGAGGGGACAGTAAATGGCCCCAGTAAATGGAAACAGATGTAGTCTCTGCTCTCCTGAAACGTACTCTAGCAGTGTGACAGACATTAAACAAATACAGACGCCACCTTTAATGTACTACAGAGAAAACGGCGTAATAAGAGGAGAACCTGAGGTCAGACTGGGGAATCGAGGAGCCCCTTCTGAAGAACTGGTACTAAGTTAAGATAGGAAGAATCAGTAGAGTTAGCCGAGTGAAGACAGCAAACTACAGCTGCAATTGGGACACTCCTTCCAGAGAGAGGACACAGTACATGACGGTCCTGAGACAGGGGAACTCCAGATGATCACTGGATGAACTGATACTCTTAGGGGTGAGTTTCATGTGAGTGTGATGCATACATGTATCTGGATTACTGGGGCAAACAACAGTTACCTGTGTAGACAAGGAATTGGTTCTTACCTGCATGGCAATGGCTTTGTACAAAGGATGTGTTCCACAAAGCATTTCTGTTCCGTAGCAAGTTCCTGTAAACTATCCTTATCTTCTTCATCTACAAAGGAACACATTATCACATTACACAAGTTAACTGATGCACAAATGTCTCCAAATTAAAATGCTGACAATATTAATTAAAAGCAATTAAGTTCTTGTCTCAAACCGTGTTTTTGTTTTTTTTGGTTAATCCTCATCTGAGGATATTTTTTCCATTTTTTTTTTCTTTTTTCAGAGTGGAAGGGAAGAAGGGAAGGGGGTGGGTGGTTAGAGAAATATCAATTGGCTGCCTTCCACATGTGCCCAGATCGGGGATCGAACCCACAACCTAGGTATCTGCCCTTGACTGAGAATTAAACCTGTGACCCTTTGGTTTGCAAGCTGGTGCTCTAACCACTGACCCACAAAAGCCAGGGTAAATTTTTATTGTTTTAAGCCATTTATAGCGATTTATAATAACAGCAATATAAAGCTAATACAGAAAGCACTTGGTCTTCACCATGAAGTTTGGCATTAGCTATGGATTTTTTAGTTGCCCTTTATCCGTTTGAGGAAGTGCCTTTCTATTACTCGTTTGTTGAGTATCTACATATATAAAAGCCTAAGCGACCGTTACGACCAGAGGATCGATGACTCTCCAGTAGCTATGATGTGCACTGACCACCAGGGGGCAGACGCTCAACGCAGGAGCTGCCCCCTGGTGGTCAGTATACTCCCACAGCCAACCTCCTGCAGTCCCTCCCCCAAGCTGGCCAAGCTGAGGGACCCTACCCATTCACGAATCTGTGTGCCAGGCCTCTAGTTTTTAACATGAAAGGCTATTAAATTTTCTTAAATGCATTTTCTCTATTAAGATAATTATGGTTTTTGTCCTTTATGCTATTGCTGTGGTATATAATACATGGATTGATTTCTGGGTGTTAAACTACCCTTGCATTCCTGGGATAAATCCCACTTAGTCATGGTATATGATGCTTTTTATATATTGCTGGATTTGGTTTGCTAGTATTTTGTCGAAGATTTTTCTATTCATATTCATGAGAGATATCTGTCTGTAGTTTTCTTGACATCTTTGTTTGGTTTTGGCATCAGGGTAATACCTCATAGAGTGAGTTAGAAAGTGTTCCTCTCCTATTTTTTGGAAGAGCTTATGAATAATTGATATTTATTCTTTAAACTAGAGGCCCAGTGCACAAAAATTTGTGCATTCGGGGGGCCCCTCAGCCTGGCCTATGCCCACTTGCAGTCTGGGACCCCTTGGAGGATGTCCACCTGCTGGCTTAGGCCTGCTTCCTGGGGGATCAGGCCCAAGCTGGCAGTCAGACATTCCTCTGGCAGCCCAGCAATCCTCGGGGGATGTCCACTTACCAGCAGGGAGCAGACTATATAGAATAGAGGCCTGGTGCACCGGTGGGGGCCAACTGGTTTGCCCTGAAGGGTGTCCTGGATCAGGGTGGGGGTCCCGCTGGGGTGTCTGGCCAGCCTGGGTGAGGGGCTGAGGGCTGTTTTCAGGCTGCCCAAACCCCCTCCAGGGTGCCTGGCCAGCCTGGGTGAGGAGCTGATGTCTGTTTTCAGACTGACCATGCCCTCTGGCGACCGAAAATTCCAGCCTTTCATCTTTTTGTTTTTACTCACTCCAGCTCCGTGGCCATGGTGACTGGAAGCAGGTATCTGGGGTTTATTTACCTTCTATAATTGAAATTTTGTTGCTTTGAGTGGAGCTCAGAGCTGCCGGGAAGCTTGGCTTCCTCCATCATTGGGGCAACCAAGCCTCCTGCTTGCTCCAGCTCTGTGGCGGCTGGCCGCCATCTTCGTTGGGTTAATTTGCATATAGTCGCTCTGATTGGCTGGTTGGCGTGGCTTGCGGTGTAATGAAGGTACAGTCAATTTGCATGTTTGTCTATTATTAGGTAAGATGTGAAGCCAGTTTGTCCTGAACTTTTCTTTTTAGGTAGTTTTGTTTACTAATTCAATCGCTTTACTTGAACAGGTCTACTCAAATTTTCTACTTCTTGAGTCAGTTTTGGTAATGTCTTTCTAGAAATTTGTCCATTTCATCTAAGTTATCTAATCGGCATACAGCTGTTCATGGTATCCTATTATAATCTTTCTATTTCTGAAAGATCAGTAGTAACACCCCTATTTCATTCCTAACTGTCATAATTTGAGTCCTCTCTTTTATTTTTGCTCAGACTGGCTAAAGGTTTGTCAACTTTGTTAATTTTTTTAAAGAACCAACTTTTGGTTTCATTAATTTTCTATTCCAAAATTATTTTTCTATTCCAAACTACTTAAAAATAAAGTTTTTATTGATTTCAGAGAGGAAGGGAAGCGATGGAAATATCAATAATGAGAATCCCTGATTGGCTGCCTCTTGCATGCCCCCTACTGGGGATCCAGCCTGAAACGTGAGCATATGTTCTGATTAGGAATCAAACCGACGAACTCTTGGTGCATGGGACAATGCTCAACCAACTGAACCACAAAGGCCAGGGTTTTTCTAAACTACTTTTTAATAGGATCCGTGAAACATACTGAAAAGCACAGAAAACTCACCTGATCCAAGAAATTTATGAAGTTTATGAATCCAAGTTAGTCCAACACTATGTACACCAGCTTCATGAGTACAGTGATATCTTGAGGGACACTTGGGATCTGCAAATAGAATCATTAATGATATAAAGGAAGCCAGTGGAAAACTGAAAATATTCACCCTAGCAGCCCAAAACACGTTTTCTGATGAAAATGATGGAAGATCAACAGGACATTTTTATTATGACACTATGTTAGGGGGTTTTTGAAATTTTAAAATCTGAACTTAACTTTCAAATATATTTTAGGTGTTTTAAAAAGTATGATGAATAAACACAATGCAAATGCATTATTTTCTAAATATTAACACAATAGAGTTCACCAAAATATAAACACTTGCTACCAGGTAATCATTTATGCCTTTCTATTTACTTTTGTGCATTTATTTACAGGTATTCAAAAATAAAATGAGTAGGATAGGTCTGCAGAAAACTTATGCACACATCTACTTACATGAAATTGGTGAAGCAAGTGCACTCCTATAAGTACAAGTACACTAAAAGACTTCGATACAACTGGTTAGTAAATAGTTCTGTCATAAGACAGTAAAGCAGGTATGAAAGGTAAAGCTTTACTTGTCTTGATAATGTTGACCCACAGATAATTTTTAAGTTCTACTTCCAATTTTTGTTTGACAATCACTTATATTTATACTAAAAAATATGAGCAGCTGTGCCCTTGCTGGTTTGGCTCAGTAGATAGAGCACCATCCTGTGGACTGAAGGGTCCCAGGTTCGATTCCCAGTCAAAGGCACATCCCCAGGTTGCAGGCTCGATCCCCAGTAGGGGATGTGCAGGAGGCAGCAAATCAATGATTCTGTCATTATTGATGTTTCTCTCTAACTCCCCTCCCTTCCTCTCTGAAATCAATAAAAATATATTTTAAAAAATATATGATCAGTTGTTATGTAATTTTAATGAAATTTTCTATACTTCTTTTGAGCCCTAGTATTAGTAAGACCATTCTTAGACTAAAAGAAGAGCTCTTAAATACTGATTATTATTTACAAGCTAGTGGCCCAGTGCATGAATTTATGCACAATAAAAGGAAATTAATTAGAAGGAATATTTTAATATTGCTATTTGCCCTTTCTCTATAATAGAAGTGTCAATCAAATTCATGATCAACAATGAGAGATGGAAACACACGCATGCAATTTA